AGCCTTTCTGTTGTTAGAGCCTCGAATTGCAATTTAAAGGGTACTACTGATGAGTGATGTGTAGTGTCGTTGTATTTTGAAAATTTATATTTGTTATTCTTATTGGAAATTAAAAATTGACACACATAAATAATTATTTCTGAAAAGTATTGTATTGCCAAATGGAACATCATAGCACAATGGAAAAGGAAAATCAAGTATCACAACCCTCGTTACTATTAGGAGAAGAAAATGTATTTTCAGACATAGTCACTTAATTAAGAAAAAGTATGATTTCTATTGTAATTGGGTTTTTCGAATCAATAGATTTACAATGTATCATGGAGGTAGACAGAATGCTTTACCTCGTCTTCATCACTAAATGCTTTTCTTTATTTCCTGTCATTCGCTGGTCGTATTCAATGGGTCCGCGGCAAAAGCAATGGTGGTTGTGTGCAAGGAGCGATGAAACCATCGTCAACACGTGTTGACTCTTTCCTTGCTTCACCGTTCTACATCTAACTTCCTCCATCGTTCAACGCTATGATGAGATTTTGGGGTTTCTTTGCTATTTGGCGCCAACTAAATTGCTATTTGCCTCCAACAAAAAAAGAAGTATATATGTACATCTTCAGTTAAGGAGTTTCACAATCTACAACATATCCAACTTTCAGAAAACGTATTGAATCGGAAAAAATCGACGCTAGTCGGAAAAGTCACCGAAAAATCATCGGGAAAGCCGAACCTCGACGTAAACTGCGGACACGCATCCATGAATCATCACTAAGCAGGTGCGCAAATTTTTTGTAGCTTCGAACAATTTTACGACGATTTCCAACGAACAGAAGGCGACCCAAAAATTTCAGGCGGCCCAAACCTGGCTGGGCCGAAAATTTCCGGCGGCCGGAACCAGGCCATGCCGACGAAAATTTTTGGTCGGATCCAGGCTGAGCAACAAAATGTTTTCGACTCAGCCTGGCTCCGGCGACTGATTTCCGTAGGCCCTGCCTGGTTCCGGCCGCCGGAAATTTTTGGCCCGGTGATGACTCGATATTTGCACTTGTTTTCCCCTTTTTTTCCTTGATCGTTTGAGCTTTAATTATCGCGTCTTTGGCCTATTTTAGCTAGGTTGTGTTCCTTTGTCACATTTCAGGTCCTAGCACATAAAGTGAAGCATAGGCGCAAGTTTCAAGTCAATCAGAGATCAATTGGCGATTAGGGAGAAGAAACTCGGGCATGACCTGAAGAATAATGGATTTCTACCTCACTTTATGGACAAAGAATCATGCAAGCTTGTCATGAAAAGAAAGAGGACGAGATTACGAGCGTCTGGGATCAAACGGCGACTGATTCGGAGTCCGGACGAGGGAGAAACGAAGCATTGAATATAGGGGAACAGGTTCGGCGGTAAAAACACGGGCGCGGCTAAATCAAAACACGGCCGTGTCCATATTTAGGCACGACCGTGTTTTGACCGACGAGGGCTTCTGGGGGCAAAACACGGGCGGGCAAAAGTGAAACACGGCCATGTCCTCGACCGTGTTTTGCCCAGAATCGGGTTTTTAGGCAGATTGAGGCCAAAGGAAAGGGAGAGCTGGGTTTTGGATCCCAAACACCCAAGGGACGAACCAAAGAGAGAGGGCGATTTGAGGGCATTCTAAGAGTGGAATTGGAGGATTTCTTCTCCTTGGAAGCTCGAGGAACAAGCCCGGACTTGAAGACTGATCATCTGAAGATTCTTACTACAGTCTCTCTCTTCACTATGGAGTAACTTCCCTTCACTTAGGTTTTGAGGAACCCTAGCTATGTTTGTTTGATTGGATGATTGTATGAGTACTCTGACTTGATAATCTTGAGTTCATATTCAATCTATGCATGTTTTCATGATTCAATTCTGCTTTAGTCGAGATTATTGATTCTGCTTTGATCCTATGAGAGAGAATACCTGATTAGGTCAATAGAGCACCATAGATTGATAGTAGTGGATCGATTGCTTTAGTCGAGGGTTGATTCACTGCTTTGTATCGATTGAGAACCTCATTCTATAGAGGGAATCTAGTTCAGAACGCCTTGATCGGTTGTTCTAGAGAAGGATACGTCCCTCTAGGCAATTGACTCAAGAGGGCCTTGTTCCTTTAGTCGAGACTCAAGGTCTAGTCAAGGATTCTCCGCATTCTGAATGAAAGTGAAACAAGTTAGAAATCATCAATCGTTAGTCTGGCTAGTGGCTAGGGGGAATCATACCTAAGTGAGTTCCCAACCTGTAATTAGATTAACTTTAACTGTAGTTTGCTAGAGTAGTTTTAGTTCTTCCTTATTAATCTGGTTTGCTAAATAATGAACTGAAGCTGAGTAATAGTAACTCTAGAGACCCGTGGATTCGATATTTATTACTTGACCCACTATACTGCAATCCCTTTCATTGGTTACACTTGGCCTTTGTTTGGAGTTGTGCCATAGTGAGTCACCCGGCCAGGTTTCGGTCGCCGAAAAATTTCGGCCCGCAGTCTGTCTTTGGAATTTTTTGGAAAAATTCGATTTTAGGAGTTGAATTTAGAGTTTAGGAGTTGAATATAGCGTTTTAAGACTTGAACAACTACTCTATCGATTGTACTTCAACCATGATCAGTTTTTCATTCCCCCTCTGCATCCACTTTGGCATGGGCTAGCACATCCTGATGTGGCGGAGTGGGGAGCTATTCTCGAGGTTGGACAAAATTTGTTTGCGAGTCTTGGTGGTCGGCAGCGAGCCAGGCAGAGAGACCCCCAAAGAGCTAGGAGAAGGGGTAGGGGTAGGAGCAATGCATAGTGTTGCAATGCTTTATTTGTATGTTGTTTTTCTAGTTGTATTTTAATTGGCCCTAGTGTCATTATCAAGACATTTTGTTTATGTTATTTCTTTTGATCATGAACTAATTCCCCGATTTCTTGGGAAATCTTATGGATTTCATTATCTACCCTCGATGTTTTAATCATGAGTATGCAAACATCCGATCCAAACATAAGTAGTCAAACATCTGATCTAAACATAAATATGCAAACATGCAGTCTAAACATAAACATCTGATCCAAACATAAGTAGTCAAACATCCGATCTAAACATAAATATGCAAACATGCAGTCTAAACATAAACATCTTATCTAAACACCAACATCCGATCTAAACACATATAGTACAAATCATAAATTATCCAAACATCAAAACAACTAAAAATCCCCTAGAGCGGGGAGTCCCTGAGACACCCAGTACTAAGTCCACACATCATGCACTCCGTGCACTGCCCTGTAGGCTCATCGATAATGCCGAACGAGCGACTACAGTAGGAGCCTCTAACTCATCCTTTGACTGATGTCCAATCTGTCGAGAGCGCTCCATCTAATCAACTACCAAAGATCCACTTAGTTCAATGAAATTAATAACCACATCTTTCTTACTCTTCAACCAACAACCATAAAACCAAGATACCATCGGATCTATATAGTTACTTGTAATGTTCTACGGTTCTACCTTCAAGCAAACTCTTCTATTCTCGCAACTGTGCTAATGTGAAACCAATAAAACCAAACACCAAATTTTAGCTCATATGATGCGTTGTCTATGGTGGATCTTAGAAACAAAACAGATAGAGCAGTTCTAGGAAAGAATGATTAGTGCAAAAATCGAAAGTATCTATGTCATACCTGCTAAACTTATCTGTCATAGGATGTAGAGATGGGATTCCCTTGATTATGATTGGATGAATTGAATACTCGCAATGGTTTAGATTTGATGTCCTTGATATACATGGATTTTCCATCCCGTACGTCGACCTCCACGACTCCGTTATATTCCTCTCCGGGCACTATCTCGAGTCCATTGTTCAGCCTAACATCCACATGGCTTCCTTCCTTGCACTCTACTCCTCACTCAGGTATGCGGGCAAGCAAACTCAACAATTTGTTCATTGTGTCCAGTTTCCCAAGACCCAAACTGGTTGCGATGGAAAGCCAAGATCTCCAAGCGTGCTCCCGACACAGGCGCACAACAAATCAACAACCATATTCATTTAGAGGGAGATTATAGACCGACAAGCTAAGGAGGAACAAAGTCTAGTGCGAATAAAGATAAAGAAGTTACAGAACAGACAATCAAAAGTAGGGCTAAGTAGTGGCAACCTTGATCCTTGTGCTTCTGGTACAGATGAGTCAGCTTGGTGTAGTTCAAATCGGTCAAGCCGCTGCATCAAGTTCACACAACGACAAAACAAATTGGTTAACCATTCATTGGATACATACATATCCGTATATCAGGCGCCACAACCAAGCTTTCAATCTACTAGAATTCATCAGTGCTACAAAGAAACAGTAATTTCCCAAGTTCTATGCGTAGATTTTCAACAACTAATAGACTTTTTAAGGGAAAAAGCAGAAAATTACCACTGAGAAGCGACATTAACAATCATAAGAACCTTCCCCTTGTAGATACTCAGATCAACATCCTTCCCCCTGGCGTCCTGCAAACAACAAAAATGAAGTTATATTGAAAATCCATGAAATCCTGAAGCCCATCAGAACTAACAGCAAGCCACACACAATCAAACAGAGTAACAAATACAAAGTCCCGCTAAACTTTGGAGTCAACAAAACGGCTACCCATAAACCCACAAAAATCCATTAAAGGAGTTGTAACAAAAGAGGACCTTTGATCCAGGGGAAGCCGAGACGCGAGAAGTAATTCGCTAATGTTAGCTGAACCACTAACAACAGAATCAGTCGGTTGAGAAGCCACACAATGAAAAGGTTCCTACTTATATAATTAATCACTCTCGATAATAAGATGATTAAGGCTAGGTTTTGGTTGCTTGGTTTATGCTGACTTATGTAAAATTCACAAAAAACATACGTGGAGTCTAGATGGGAGTCGGGGGATTGAATTAGATAGGTTATCAGTAGGGTTTGGATGTCATATAATCCTTCAAAACCCTAATACAGGCGTAGACAGAGGGACACTAACCATTTGATAAAAGGCTGGTTCGGTGGTCATGAAGCGGGTCGTCCTCAATGCACACTCCCGCCAGCAATTCTTCCCCCGATTCAGCAAGTGGGTCTACGAAAGAGGTGCGTCACTCTCCCTAACACTCTCTTTGTGTCGCCTCTCCATCTCCCTTCTCCCTTCACAACCCCCTCCTGCTTTCCCCACTGCTCTCGAAATCAATCTCCGCCAATTTGCCTCTGGTCACCTAAGAACTCAACTCCTGAGCTGTGCCCGCCGGCTACGCTCAATAATGTATTCCGCTCGTTCTAGGCTGCGAAATCTCGCCCCGGTCAACTCGGTAGCAGAAGTCGGTCAGTGCCTACCTCCGCTCAACAGCAAAAATCAGTCCCCTACCCAAAATAGTCCTCTGTAAAACCCTCTGTTGCGGGAAGGAGAAAGGAAAATGGGGGAGCGACTGTGCGAAAAGAGGAAGGAGATTTCAGCAAAAGAAAAAGTTAGTGTGAAAAAGACGGTTTATTATCACTCCTAAATGGCGGGGTGTTTGTACATTAATCCCACCTAAATAACCTGCCACATCGGCCTCCTAAATTCACTCTAAGAGCAGGAAAATTTGAATGGGGTGTGGAGTTTTACTTTTCAGCTATAAATGATACTTTTCATTACATAGTTATTTATTGATATAGTTGATCTAAACGAAATCATTTGTTTCTAACCCTTGAAATTTGTGTTGCGGGTTTGACAAGATGTTTGATTTTTTTTTTCTTTTGCTAAATTCTACTTTGCAGCTGGAAGAAGAAGATATATTCAATTTACTACTAATCAAAGAAACTTCCTCCTAAAACACTTTCATAACTAAGACGATTCTTCAACAATCCCTAAAACGAAGCGAATGTAATCGACGGAGGGGTCCTCCTCCTTCACTCAAGGACTCTGTTTTTTAGAACCGAATCATCATCGAGTAGATGGATAAGGTCCTCCTGCTTCTTCTCCTTAATCACGAGGCGTGCGGATGTCATAAGGTACAGGCAGGTTAGGGAGACCAGAATGCCTGCGGTTATACATCCGGAGATGAGGTCTCGTGGGAATGAAATCAGCAGGTCAATCAGAGATTTTAGGGATTTAGGTTTACTGTATCTCGAAGAACGAAGAGGAAGAAGAAGATAGCAGAAATGAAAAGCAAAGGAAGACAGCGGAGGTTTTCTTCTTCCGAAGAGATCGAAGTGGGCCTAAGGTGTCAAAGCCCACAGTCAGAGAAGAAGAAAGTCCACAGTCTGAAGAAAGAAAAACAAAACTCGTTTGGACTAAGAATCAGTTAGGCCCACTGATCCTAGTTTGGTTTCGAGGGTCTCTTTCTTCTTCCTTGGACAGAGTCCTTAGAAGCAGAGCCACTGCTGAAAACAGAGCCAGAGACGCAGAAGAAAACACAGAGGGAAAAACAGGAAGGAAACCGAACACAGCGAATTTTAACGAGGTTCCCCAAGCTACGGGTACATCCTCGTCCTAGACTCAGTACTGCACTGAGTTCTAGGAGACTCTATTTTTATTGATTTTTCCTATCAAGCAACAAAGAAAAGAACAATGGACTCAAGAACTGTAAAACGAAACAAGAAGACCCCGAATCCCAAACCAGACCCGTTACACCGCTAAATCAACAGAACCTATTCCTCTGTTCAAAATAGCCCACCAAGTAGACAGCCGTATAACGCTTCTAAAAGGTTGAAGCTTCTTGATATCACCGAGAGGGATTATATAGCAAGCTTGAAGAAGACCGTTGCCTTGAGGTTTTCCAAAATGAGAAAGCAAATCAGCAGAGCCCGCTTGATTGCTTGATTACCGCCAATGAACCTTGATTTCCAACTTTCCATCTTTCAACAATCTCCCCCTAAGTTAGAAATAGCAAGTTGCTGATGAAACCTGCAAAACAGAACGCAAGAGATTCCTCCAAGGCATACACAAGATCAAATGCAACAGACATTCACAGAACCAAACACATCCTAGATTAAACTAGGAGAACATCCAACCATTCAGAAGAAAACATCCAACCATTCAGAAGGAAAGATAAAGACCACAGCCTGGTCAGGAAAACCAATCAGCAAGGCAACTCCCTAAAAACTTGCATCAAAGAAACAATATCCGAAACACAAACCAGAACCCGATCAGTTCTACCCTGCCAAAAAGACTACTCCTCCCCCTGAGATTGAGCCCCTTCACCATCAGAATCAGAGCCATAAAGAGCTTGAAGGGCTGCTGCAAAAGGAGCCAGTTCTGGGACATCACCACCATTACCATCATCAGAATCACTGCTGCTGCTAAGAACAACAACGTGTCCATCACCATTCTCCCCCTCAACTGCTATTTCGAGGAGATCCATGACATCGTCGGCAGTAAGATAGACAGAAGGAGTGATGGATCGGAAGGGCTGGATATTGACACGAATGCGCGAAAGAAAGGTGGTAATGAGAGGTCCAAAGGGAAGGGGTGAAGTGACATTCACATCGCAATAGGATATAGCATGACCAAAGAAGAGGTCAGCATAACTGAGAGGCACACCATGAGCTGCGTGAACCAGAACCCAAAGCTCCACAGGGGTAATCAGGTTGAAGTCACCAGAACGAGGCAAAAACACACGAGATATATAAAAATGAAGAGCTCGAAGGGAGGGCAGAAGAGCTGAGACAGGCAAGGAAAGGTTAGGACCAGGAAATTGCCCTGTAAGCTGGCGGAACTCAGCTGAGATATCAAAATTGAAAAGAGCCAGCTCAGAGGCATCAGCAAGATTCTCACCAATGGCAGGGATATAAAGAGAACGCTCAACTTCAACCACAGGAATAGTGAGGAGATTGCCAAAAACCAGGGTGGTCAAAAAGCGAGAGCTGAGCTGAGTAAAACGAAGATTGGAGTAAAAAAAGCGCACAGCATCAGGACAAATGACAGAGGAAAAAGGATGATCCAACAGAAAGGTCCATCCGAGATTTTGAATGAAGGGACGCACATCAAGTCCAACTTCAATCATATCATGAAGCTGAACATGATATGAGGGAAGCACCTCTCGATTGGCAAAAAACAGAGTATGACGATGGGCGTTAGCAGGAATGGGATCTAAAAACAGAGTGCCAGTAAACGTGCTAAGAAAAGGCAAAGGCATGGCAACAGGCTAAAAAAAAATGAGAAGACACAAAAACTAGGGTGAATGAAAAGACACAGAACTCACACATATAAATACAGAGAAAAACCTAAGACTAAGACGATAAAAACACAGTCAATAATAAAAGCTAACCCACAAAAGGAAAAACAAAGAAACCAAAAAGGCTAAGAAACTAAAAAGAACGAAAAGAAAAATAAAAGGAAAGAACTAATTAGGAGGCAAGATCACCAATTACCTCTGTTAGAGAGGACTGGGATCGCATACCAATCTCATAACTAAGGAAATGAAATCGATCTGCAGACAATGGCTTGGTAAACAAGTCAGCAAGTTGAAATTCCGAAGAAATATATGAAAGCTCAATGATCTCTGCCTGAACTAATTCTCTAATGAAATGAAATTTGATATCAATATGCTTTGTTCTAGAATGCTGGACAGGATTCTTGGACATGCATATGGCGCTAGTATTGTCGCAAAACAAAGGAATAGAGGAAACAGACATACCATAGTCAGCAAGTTGGGTTTTAAGCCAGAGAAGTTATGCACAGGAGCTGCCAGCAGCAAGATATTCTGCCTCGGCAGTGGATAAAGCAACAGCCGCTTGCTTTTTACAAGACCATGATACCAAGGAAGTACCTACAAATTGACAACTACCAGAAGTACTCTTCCTGTCTGTTAAGCTACCAGCAAAGTCAGCATCGGTATATCCAGCCAGATCAAAATGATCTTGCTTAGCATACCACAGGCCTATATCTATAGTACCTTTCAGATATCGAAAAATGTGTTTTACTGCCGATAAGTGACTTTGTTTGGGCTGAGATTGAAAACGAGCACATAGAGAGACTGCAAACTGGATGTCAGGACGACTGGCAGTAAGATATAAAAGAGATCCGATCATGCCACGATACAAAGATTCATTGACAGGTATACCAGCCTCGTCTTTGTCCAGTTTTACATTGGTTGCCATAGGTGTAGGACTGGAATTGACAGCACTCATATCGAATTTACTGAGCATGTTAGACACATACTTAGACTGATGAATAAAAGTACCAGCAGGAGATTGTTGAATCTGGAGACCAAGAAAATACTTAAGTTCCCCCATCAGACTCATCTCAAACACACTCTGCATTGACTCACAGAAAGAGGAACACAAGCTAGTATTGGTGGAACCAAAGACAATATCATCTACGTAAATCTGAACAAGCAGAAAATCAGAAGCTACATGTTTAGTAAAGAGAGTTTTGTCAACTGACCTTGTATGAAACCTTGATCACAAAGAAAGGTAGTAAGACGATCATACCAAGCTCGAGGAGCCTGTTTGAGACCGTACAAGGCCTTATTTAATTTAAAAACATGATCAGGATACTTAGGATCTACAAAACCCGGAGATTGAGCGACATACACATCCTCCTCTATAACTCCGTTTAAAAATGCGCTTTTAACATCCATTTGGAATAATGGAAAACCCAAAAAGGAAGCATATGCACACAAAAGGCGAATTGATTCAAGACGTGCAATAGGGGCAAACGTCTCATCATAGTCAATGCCTTCTTCTTGAGAATATCCTTGAGCAACCAATCTAGCCTTATTTCTAATGATAATGCCTATCTCATCAGTTTTATTCCTAAACACCCATTTAGTACCTATAACAGTCACATTCAAGGGTCTTGGAACCAAATCCCAGACATGCAAATGGGCAAATTGAGAGAGTTCTTCAACCATTGCCAAGAACCAAGCATCATCTCCTAAAGCAATTTTGTAAGATTTAGGTTCTATTTGTGACACATAGGCATACTGTCCAGGAATATACTTACCTCTAGTTTTGAGACCATCATTGATGTCCCCAATGACTTGAGTAGCAGGGTGACGCTTTTGAATGTGTGGAGGAGCAGCAATGACAGTATCCAAGGTATTTTGATTATCTGTATTATTTGACATAGACAAGGCAGGATTTCCAGAGTTGTTCTGTAAGCTGTTACTAACTCCCTGCTATAGATCTGAAGATTTATCAGACTTTGAGAACAATTCAGACAAGTCAAACGTTAAAGGACTGGAATTTGATTTCTCAGAGGTGATGTCATTGAATCTGACATGAACAGATTCTTCCACCTTTTGAGTACGAGTATTATATACTCTAAAGGCTTGTCCTTTGACAGAATACCCAAGAAAAATTCCCTTATCATATTTAGAGTCAAACTTTCCCAGTTGATCACGAGTATTTAAGATATAACAGGGGCAACCAAAAGGATGAAAGTATGATATATTAGGTGACTTGTTCTTAAACAACTCATAGGGAGTTTTATTCAAGGATTTTCGAACAAGAACACGATTGATCACATAACATGCTGTACTTACAGCCTCTGCCCAGAAGTATTTTGGCAGATTGTATTCCAGCAAAAGAGTGCGAGCACATTCAATTAGAGTTCTATTTTCCGCTCTACTACCCCATTTTGTTGAGGGGTACGAGGAGCAGAAAAATTATGGGCGATCCCAGCATCATTGCAGAAGGTTTCAAACTCTTCTACAGTGAACTCACCCCCGTTGTCACTCTTAACCGTTTTAATCTTATTACCATGAAGCAAAGCAAAGGTCTTAAACTTTCCCAAAGTTTCAGATATTTGAGCAAAGAAAAAGACCCAGGTGAATCTGGAAAAGTCATCAACTATAACAAACACGTAGTTCTTGCCACCCAGACTTGTCACATTACAAGGACCAAAGAGGTCCATGTGCAGCAATTCAAAGACAGCTGTAGTAGTAATGTCTGGTTTTGACTTGAAAGATCTACGCCTTTGTTTACCAGAAATACAAGTATCACAAAAGAAATTTGACTTTTCCTTAAGATCAGGAAGCCCTCTAACCAGTTTTAACTTTGACAGAATGGCTAGTTTTTGCAAACTAATGTGTCCCAGTTTCCTGTGCCAAAGGAGTTCTTGATGAAAGGAAGCAATGAAACAGTATTCGTTGAAGGCATCAAGATTTCTAAGATCAATAACATACATGTTATTCTGTCTTGATCCAACAAAAATAACAGTTTCATCGCTTGTCCTCTTAACTAGACAGCGAGAGGTTTCAAAGATAACATTATGACCACTACTACACAGCTGGCTGATAGAAAGCAAATTGTGTTTAAGACCATCAACAAGCAGCACATCATGAATCATAGGTGAAGGTAGTTTACCAATGGTTCCTATTCCAATGATTGTGCCGGAACTGTCATCACCAAAGGTAACTTTGCAACCACGTTTGAATTTTAGAGATGAAAAAATGTCTTGCTTACCAGACATGTGATGCGAACAGCCACTATCAAGATACCAGAGGTCATCAGTTTGGCTTGACTTACCAGTGTCTTCAGGTGGAAAGGAAGGCCCAACCTGTGTAGTTTTTGAACAGTATTTTGATGAGGATGAGAAGACCATAAATGCTTCTTCATCGATCTGATCTGGTTCCTCATCAGTTTCATAGTCGCTCCAAGATGCCTTCATGGCACGTTCCTTAGCTTTGAGAGTTTGGGGACAGTTTGCCCTAATATGACCCTGCTTCCCACACTTGTAACAAGCCTGGGGTTCTCGATCAGCTGTACCTGTATCTAAAGATCTGGTCTGCTGATTAGGCAGCCTGTCATGTGATAAAATCTCAAATCGATCATTAGTATTAAATCGAGAGTCATCAAAACGCCTTTTCTGATCATTTTTATATTTTAGCATACGATGAAAACGTTTGCTTACCAAAGCAAATTCTTTCTCGAAATCTCTTTCCAAATCATTATCAGAATCATAATCAATAACCTTAGATTGAAAAGCTAGAGTTTTCTTTCTCTTATCATCATCTTGATGAACCTGCTTAATAACGTTTTCATGGCTTAGTAATGATCCTATAAGTTCATTTATAGGAAGAGTTCCAAGATTTCGCGCCTCCTCAATAGCAGTACGCTTTGGTAACCACTCCTTAGGTAATGAACGAAGAATTTTTCGATTTAGATCTTTTATTAGAAAAGTATGACCTAACCCTTTGAGTTTATTTATAAGAATAGTAAATCTAGAGTACATTTCATGGATGGATTCATTATTAAGCATAGAGAAAGATTCATACTCATGCACCAACAGATCAATGCGTGATTCCCGAATATTAGATGTACCTTCGTAAGTACTCTGGAGAGCTATCCAGATTTCCTGTGCCGATTCGCAGTTTTCGACTTGGTCTGCCTCTTCAGGAATCATCGCTGATTGGAGAACATGCATCGCCCGTTGATTTAGCTGAGCGCTTTTCTTCTGTGCTGCTGTCCACAGGTGTTGCTCGGCTAGATTCATGTCGATAGGACCATTTTGCACGATGAGCCAGAGCTCCTCATCGATACCCCACATAAACTGCTTGATTCTCTTCTTCCATGCAGTATAATTTCCTCCGGTGAAGATTGGAGGATGGTTTAGAGTCGCCTGTCCGAAGGAATTCGAGGCCATCGGATCTTTTACCTTGGCAGGGCTGAACTTCTCTCAAGGGCAAGCTCTGATACCAATTGAAATCAGCAGGTCAATCAGAGATTTTAGGGATTTAGGTTTACTGTATCTCGAAGAACGAAGAGGAAGAAGAAGATAGCAGAAATGAAAAGCAAAGGAAGACAGCGGAGGTTTTCTTCTTCCGAAGAGATCGAAGTGGGCCTAAGGTGTCAAAGCCCACATTCAGAGAAGAAGAAAGTCCACAGTCTGAAGAAAGAAAAACAAAACTCGTTTGGACTAAGAATCAGTTAGGCCCACTGATCCTAGTTTTGTTTCGAGGGTCTCTTTCTTCTTCCTTGGACAGAGTCCTTAGAAGCAGAGCCACTGCTGAAAACAGAGCCAGAGACGCAGAAGAAAACACAGAGGGAAAAACAGGAAGGAAACCGAACACAGCGAATTTTAACGAGGTTCCCCAAGCTACGGGTACATCCTCGTACTAGACTCAGTACTGCACTGAGTTCTAGGAGACTCTATTTTTATTGATTTTTCCTACCAAGCAACAAAGAAAAGAACAATGGACTCAAGAACTGTAAAACGAAACAAGAAGACCCCGAATCCCAAACCAGACCCGTTACACCGCTAAATCAATAGAACCTATTCCTCTGTTCAAAATAGCCCACCAAGTAGACAGCCCTATACCGCTTCTAAAAGGTTGAAGCTTCTTGATATCACCGAGAGGGATTATATAGCAAGCTTGAAGAAGACCGTTGCCTTGAGGTTTTCCAGAATGAGAAAGCAAATCAGCAGAGCCCGCTTGATTGCTTGATTACCGCCAATGAACCTTGATTTCCAACTTTCCATCTTTCAACAGGGAAGTCATCCAATTTGTCAATGTATTCGAACAGGATGTTCATCAACAAGACGAAGCCGTCGAGGCCGATAACACAGAGCACAGACTGCAGGACGAAGAGCCATGTCATTCTTGACGTCTTCATCATTCTGTGCGCAAGCGGGCAAGGAGAGATCGATGTTCTTTCTACTCTGTCTTACTTAGGGTTGGCCGTTCGGTTAGCAGTTACCGGTTAACCGGCTAACCGAAAATTGAAACTTCGGGCGGTTGGCGGTAGCAGGTTAACCGGCTAACCGAAGGTGGTAACCGCCGGTTAACCGGCTAACCGGCATAGCTAACTAGCCATTGAAACGACGCCGCCCTCAACCCTCACTCTCCTAACCCTAATCAAAGGAGCGGCCTCTCTGCATCTGCAATCGACCCTCAGCCCTTACTCTGCCAATTTGCATCGCGAAGCGAAGAGAAGATGGCGACGCCGCCGTTCCTTCTCCCTTCTCCCTCCCCGACCCTGAAGGGCGCCGACGCTGCCGCTCTACGCCATCGTCGCTGCTCCCTTCTCCCTTCCCTCCTTTGCTCGCGGCCAGCAACCGCCATCCAACTCGCAGTCGCAGCCAGCAACCGCCATGAGGCTGCCCAACTTCCTCTTCAGAGCCCTTTTCCCCAAAATCGGAGCTGCAGCCTCGAGTCGGGGGTTGAGGTCCTCTGCCGCATCTTCTTCTTATTCTTCTCATTATTCCGATCGAAATTACAATTCCAATTGCTCGCTGTCCTCCTCCTCCACGTCATCATCGTCTTCCTCCTCCTGGCGCTCCCCTAACGCGCACGGGAGGAATGCGTGGCGGAGCCGGTGCTTCTCCTGCTCTGGGCTGCACGGCCGCCGCCACGACGACGACGTATTGGATGAAGAAGGTAAAGGAGGAAGTGCTATAAAGAAGCGAAGGTCGGTGTCTCTGGGAAGATGGTGTTCCTTTGGGAGGGTGAGGTTGTATTAATTGCCGAGTGGATTGCTTTGCCGGCCATCATAGTTAATTAATTTCATTTCAGCAGTCTCCTCCAGCTGAAAAATGGCTTCTTAACTTGAATGTGGTGAGTTTGCCACGGTTACTTCGGTTAACCGAGCAACTAACCGATAACCGACCGGTCGGTTGCCGGCTAACCGAAGCTTTCCTTCAATCGGTGGTTATAACCGAAATGTCGGTTATCGGTTATAACCGAACTAACCGAAAATCCACCCCTACTTACTGTCTATATATAATCGAATCATGTCCGAAGTAGGATTACTTTCTTTTCCCGCTTTTCTTTTCCGGGACTGGATGCTTCTTTTTGCTCTTTTCTTCCTCGGAATAATGTCAAAAACTGGAGGGGTTCTACTGGGCCGTCCTGGAGGGCTTTGAGTTTATGGATCGGTGGGCTAATTGTCTGTTTGGGCCTCTACAATCATAAAACAGCCTTTCTGTTGTTAGGGCCTCGATTTGCAAATCCGATGTTGCAATTGCAATTGCAATTTATAAGGTACTGATTGATGAGTGATGTGTAGTGTCGTTGTATTTTGCAAATTTTTATATGTTATTCTTAATGTAATTTAAAAGTTGACTCACATGAATAATTTATGAAAAGTATTTTATTGCTAAATGGAACATCATAGCACAATGGAAAAGGAAAATCAAGTATCACAACCCTCGTTACTATCAGGAGAAGAACAAAAAAATGTATTCTCAAACATCATCACTTAATTAAGAAAAAATGTACTTTCCATTGTAATTGGGGGTTTCTAATCAATTGATTTATAGGGTGTTCTAGAGGTACACAGAACAACAGGTAGTTCATTTTTTGGGCTAACAAATCCCTCAATTTGTCTTTTATTAATTCAATAACTAGTTCTGATTTTGGTGTTTGACTCTATTAATTAGTACTCGTTACGCATAAATCCACCCTCGAAGTCATGAATGAACCCTCATTGGCCAACTCAAGCCGGACGTTACGACCTACATGTCTTGTTCGTGTTTGAACATGAAACTCAATTGACCAAATTGCAAGAAGGTTGCTTCGATTTACATCCACTTTGTGTCAAGAGTAAATTAATGGCTCTCCCCATTTTCACTTAGCCTTCTTGAGTTCTGATTTCGTACACCACTACTTTCCCTCTCTCTCACAACTCCCACTTTACTTCTAGCATAGGATCTTGCATAACCAAAAAACATTCAAACTAATTAACAACCAAAACAAGTCACAAGGAAATAAATATCTTCAATCAAGCAAGTTTTCAGAAGGGCATCAAACCTCCAAGTACTCCTTTCACTTCTCTAACATGCGTGGTGCAGCAGGCAGTGCCAGTTATGCAATAGCGAGTGACAGAGCAGTGACATACACTTCTGAAAACTTGACCCTTTTAAAATGTAATTTTAATGTGATTTTCCATTTTTCGGCACACTACTCCCCCCTCCTATCGATATTGTATTTTGAAGGAAGGTGCCATGACAAGAACTGGAGTCGGAATAGGATTTTCGATGGATAAAGTTGGATTTTAAATGATAGATTGAAAGAACGGGGATATGAGGCATTTGGATCGGGAGAGAGAGAGGTGTGAATGGAGATACTGGAGGCAATCAAGACGCATGTATATACTGAACACCTTCCTCGGGGCTCTACATGTTTGCGGTGTCCATTTTCTATATGAAGAAAAGCACCGGATTTATCAGAATTTACCAGTGTTTGTAGTCGATGGAGATCTCAACGGTGATTGAGGGGACGGCGACAACGGTGAATCTGGTGACAAATGATCTGTTAGTCAGAGCGGGAGGGGCTTGAGGAAGGAGGCGGAGGAGATTCAGATTGGCAGAACAATGAAGCTTGCGCGGTGGCCAATCCTCTTCCTCGTCGATGTTCCAAATCATCAAAAAGGGTTTGTGATATCAAAGTCAGGGGAGATTTAGGTCAATTACTCAATTTCGCCAAAAATTAAAAAATCGGGTCGGTGGTTGAATTGGGTTAGTTCTATTCTATAGTGGTCTGACGTGGCGGTCCGGTTATATGATGTGGTGGGTTAAATTGGGTGATTAGACATGTCTGTTAGCCACATCAGCAAAAAACTGACACTGTTAACGGAGAGTGACCAAATTTGAACTGTTTTACTAATATTGATGACCATAAATGGAATTAAATATTTTTAGTGATCAAACATGAATATTTTTAATAATCTCAGTGACCAACCTTGCAATTTATCCTTATTTTAGGGGATTGCTATTCGTCGCCCTAAAAATCCTTATTCGTCGCCCTAATTATATTAAATTTACTCTAATACCCTTAATTTATATTTTTTCGATCTTAAACTCTAAAACAATCACATGCAAATAAAAATAATAATAATAAAACAATCACCACATACATCCAATCAGTCGTCGGTGTCGGCCACCTCCCCGGGGAAAAAAAATCCTCTGTTGCTCGAGTCTTCGTCTTGCTTATGGCGGCGGATCGTGCTTGGGAACAACCATGCAATTTTTCACGATCATGATCGAAGGATTGGGTTTGGGCCTTGGGATTCTCTTTGATTAAGGAATTGCTCTTCTGTCAATTGGATTACGCCCAAGTTTTCTTTCTAATTTTCTTTTCTCTGGTTTTTATATGGGAAAATTAGGATGATGAGTGATTACAAGGTGGAGATGATTGATGGATTTTTCTGGGTTCTTGTACTTCTTCCCGTAGTTGATTGATGGCCACGATCGAAGGGTCAGCGCAATGGGGAGATAGAGCGATGGTGGGTCGGGGAATGGGTACTCCGACGGGTTTTGGGAACGACAGCGGCGGCCGGCGGTAATGGTGGTTAGCGGCTGAGTCGATGGCACTGTGCAGTGGGCGAGAGACAATTTTCTTCTTCTGCAGTCTCCTCCTTTCCTTCTCCGAGCAGCAGCGGCGAGCCGGCGATAATGGTGGCCAGCGGCAGGTTGAAGGGATTGGTGAATGATGTTCACGGCAATTTTAAATTTAGATTTATGAATTGTGACGAAATATATGAGAGGGCAATAAGGTAATTTTAGTATAAATTAGGGCGATTTTTTTAAAATATTAGGGCGACCAATAACAATTCAGTTATTTTATGTTACAACAATCACTAAAAAACGGAATGGCAAATGAACATGAGTAAAAGGCTAGCTTATTTCAAGTTTCTCAAACAATTTTATATCATTCTTCCCCAATGTTTCGAGTTGATGACGTTCAACACATTCGAGAATCACACACCCACACTAACGAATAATAAGATGATTGAGCTCTTAAAAGTTAAAACACAATTCCTTTGCCAACAACAGGAATAACTCGAAAAGGAATCAACAAATTAAACTAATTAACCCAAGCTGGCTAGGGCTAGCTAGCTAATCCTACGTTAACCCCGCAGAGTCCACTGAAACGGAGGAGGAGTTCTTCATCTTGTTCTTCCTATTCTCCTTGTATCTCTTCTTCTTCTCCTTCTTCTTCAACTGCAAGTTCCTTTTCCTGATAACTGGATCTTCAGTATGTAAGCGGGTAAGTTGACCATGCATCTTTCTGAGGCGAAGGATCGGAATAATCCGCAGACAAATCGAGGCGAGGCAGCAAATCCACACACAGACGAGACCGATGGATTTCGCAAACTCCAACTTGCCATCATCATCTTCGGTCACGTTTGTGATGCGTATGACGCCGACAACATAGGTTGTTAGCAGACCAACGGTCCACAGCTTCCCCGATATCTTCATTGCATTGACGCCCAAAACGTAAGGAATCGAAGCCAAAGCGGAGGAGGAAGACGACTTCAACTCGAGGATTCTTTGTTTGATAACTGGATCCTCATGTCGTCGGATACGATTGTCGATTAATTTGGTCAAGATTCGGATTGCCCTATTCTGCATCAGCCAGAAGGTGAACGGAACGGTCAGCAACGCATATCCAAGGTGGAGATATCTTGCCAAATAGTAGTACGTGTGCAGCTCGTCGACGAAGAAGATACTGTAGGAGATGAGGCTGTAAAGTGTAAACCACGAGCATTATTGTATGGAGGATCAAGATCCACACAGCCCTCATTATATAGGAGGAATACAGGGAGGGAGATGCCATGAGAGAAATCTTTCAACTGTATACTTAGATCATCGTAGTGGGTTGGGAGAAGTTCTCCTGTCGAAGTAGGATTCTTTTCTTTTTCCCGTTCTCTTGATCTCATCTTGTTGAAGATTGAAATGTAGAACTCCAACAACAACAACGTAAATTCCAGATGAGATTAATATCGAATTTGTCCAAGAAGATACTACTTATTATTTTGCCCATTTCAGATTCACATAGCTTTCAAGTTGACTGGGAAAATCCACAGTTCACACACATCTAATGAAGAAGATGCTACAAACTTTAGTCCGAAAGTACAAGGATTATTGTACTCGTACCACGAGCTAAAAAATGAACATACAAACACAGTACCACCCATGAAGGCAAGGCAGCATGGAATGATGGATCAAGTAAAAACAGGATTCGATTAATAACTAGCAACACCATTTTAAACGTCTGAACAGGAAAATAAATCAGTGCAGCAAAATTTAAACTGTGAACCAAATCCGATATTATCAACCACAAGCCAAAACTTTGCGGGTCCTACAACAAGATAACTGGTTTGGGGAAACTTAATCATCAAACAGACTGAAGCCCAAACCATCTTCATCGGACTCCTCTTCAGGCTCTGGTTTCTTCTCCTCTTCCTTGGCTGCGGCAGGTGCAGCAGCAGCAGGGGCAGCAGCAACAGCGAACTTGCTAGGATCCTGCATAGCATAAACATTCAAACTAATTAACAAACAAGACAAGACACAATGAAATAAATATTATTCAATCAGTAAGTTTTCAAAAGGGCACCAAACCTTCAAGTACTCTTTCACTTGCTCTGCCTGAGGGAAGGTGTAATCAGTCTCCACCGCAATGGCCAAGACATTCTTGTACGCATTGGCGAACATGTGAGGGGCAGCAGCCAGCGTTGGGTATGCAATGGCGAGTGAGAGTGCAGTAACCATGGAGACACCAGAGGCAAACCTCCCCATGAGGTCATCCTCTGTCAGATCGAGAACCTCAGGGCTGAAGACAGACCCATCGTCATAGACATTTTCGACCACCAGACCATAAGAGAATGGTTTGCCGTCGGACCCGCTTCCCCTGCACTCCTCCAACATCATCTCGACAGATTAAGCGGAGACCAACTTCCACTTCTGAGATTGGTGAGGAAGAGGAAGGTATCAGACGATTTGTCAAAAAACCTTATCCCTGTTTTGCCCAGATCAGCTTCAATATCAACAGCGCAGTCGACCGTTAGTTGGAGCGACGTCATACGAGGAAAAGGGAAGATGCCCGTTATGTGAAGCGACGTCGTTCCAGTAAAGAGGATGGCGCCAAGATTGTTAGAGCACAGTAACTCTGTATTTGAAATGCTTTTCACCCCTGTCTTTACTTTCTTCTTCACCCTTCAATGTTGGACTGTAGTGATCTGTAATGGCTATATAAACCAAACGATGAATGAGAAGCAGCCTAAGAGCTTTTAGGGTTTCAACCCATCTCTGGTAACATGGTATCATAGCCTAAACCTTAGCCGCCCAAACACCAAAACACAACACAATGGCCACAACAAGCAATACAGATCCCATGGCGGATCCCTACTACTTACATGGTTCAGATCAGCCCGGGTTGATGTTGGTAGGTGAGAAGTTAACCACCACCAACTACAATGACTGGAGCAAAGCCATGTCCAATGCACTTGGCGCGAAGAACAAGCTCGGTTTCATCAATGGAGCCATCACTGCACCTGCAGAAGACGATGGTCAGTATGACCCGTGGAGCAGGAACAACATAATGGTTCTAAGCTGGATCCAACAGGCAGTCGAACCTGGTATAAGGAAGACAACCATGTCCCTGCAGCTTGCATCTGAGGCATGGCAGAGTCTGCGAGCAAGATATGGACAGGGAGACTTGATCAGGATAGCTGAGTTGATTGAAGCTCTCGCTACCTTGAAGCAAGGTAATCGCTCTGTGACTGAGTACTATGGTCACCTGATCACTATTAAAGATTAATTAGACAGCTATCAACCTATCAATCTTTGTCAATGTACTCCAAATAGCTATCGAGATTGTGCAGCCATGAAGTTAGTCCTAGCCTATAGGGACACTAACTATGTGATCCAGTTTCTAAGAGGATTGAATGATAACTTCAGCTCAGTTAGGTCCCAAGTTCTATTTGGAGAGACCTTGCCATCAATTGATAGGGTTTGTCAGAGAATGATGAAACATGAAAGGCAGCAATATGGCACTCAACATGCTGCTGTTCTATCTGCTGAAAGTATGATACTGTCAGCCCAAGGTTATCAGGGCAGAATGTCAAACATACCTGGGAAGAGGCCATACTGCACCTTTTGTAAGATGTTGGGCCATGTTGAGGATGCCTGTTACCACAAACATGGCTGGCCTCCAGGAATGCAGCCTCGAGCCCCTCCTCCTATTGTCCCAGCTGCTACTAGATCCCTAACCTGTACCTACTGCAAGAAGAGTGGTCACACTGAGGACAGGTGCTTTCAGAAACATGGCTACCCTCCTGCAACAGGCCAAAGGAGCAACAACACTTCTTTTGCTAGGCCTAAACCTCATGTCAATACTGCTGCTAGTGACATTCCAGATGACAATCAGCAAGAAGTCCGCCTCACCAAGGCAGATTATGACTGGTTCATGAGCCTTCTTGCAGACAGAAAGTCCCAGGCCTCTACATCACATTCAGCAGCAGCTGCCTTTGTTCATCCTCACTCAAACAGTTCATGTGAATTCTTACTTAATGTCAGTAGTTCTGCTCCTTCTACAAGGACATGGATCCTCGACACTGAGGCTTCCGACCACATTGTTTGCTCATTAGACAGTCTTAGTACCTACAGAAGGATTCACAATGTTTCCATCATATTACCAACTGGGGATAGAGTTGAAGCTACTCATGTTTGTACCATTAATCAGATTGTTGGGTTAACCTTAGAGGATGTGTTGTTCGTGCCCCATTCCACGTTCAACCTAATCTCAGTAAGTAAGTTAACCACAAACAGGTCATTGTGCTTAACTTTTTACTCTGATTTATGTTTAATACAAGACATGGAGCTGAGTAGAATGACTGGTTCTGCTAAGCTCTCCCATGGCCTCTATCATATGCAAAACATAGGAGTAGACAGTAATCCTAAAACCATAGCCACCACAACTCTTAATCCTTTTGGCCTTTGGCATTTCAGATTAGGGCATGTCTCCCATAGCAAGATTCCTCATTTGAAAAGACTTTTTATATCCATAGAGACAAACATATCTTTACCCTGTGATGTTTGCCATGTTGCAAAGCAAAAGAGGCTGCCTTTTTCATCTAGTTCTTCTGCAACAGTGAACCCCTTTGAACTAATTCATGTTGATATTTGGGGTCCTAATCCTAGCCCTACTTATGATGGATTCAAGTATTTTCTTACAATTGTGGATGACTATACTCGTATGACTTGGATAATTCTCATGGAAACCAAGGCTGAAACCAGAACCAGATTACAGGAATTTTGCACTCTGGTAGAAAGACAACATCTGTGTCTTGTTAAAAGGATTAGGAGTGACCAAGGTCGTGAGTTTCTCATGTCAGAGTATTTCCTTTCCACTGGCATTATCCATGAGATGTCTTGCATTGAGACACCACAACAACACAGTAGAGTCGGAAGGAAACACCAACACATCTTGTCCATAGCTACAGCTCTCAAATTCCAAGCTAACTTACCTACTGGTTTTTGGGGAGATTGTGTGAGACATGTTGTTTACTTGATCAATAGAGTTCCTACACCTATCCTAAACAATATCACCCCCTATGAAAAGCTATTCAACAAACAACCTGATTTAACAGCTTTGAAGGTATTTGGTTGTTTAGCTTTTGCATCCACTCTTAGCAACCACAGAACAAAATTCCAACCAAGAGCTCGAAAAGGCATATTCATTGGTCACACACAAGGAATAAAAGGTTATAAGATCTATGATATTGAGAGTCATGATATATTTACCTCGAGAGATGTCAAGTTTTATGAGTCTTATTTCCCTTTCAAAGATTCTTCCCAGGTTCCTACTGCACCTGAAAATCCCTCCTTTGCTGATCTCTATACCTTTCTACCAGATTACACTTCCTTCTCCCCTGACATCCAAATTCCCCAACCACCCTCTAATCCTTTTTCTTCTTCTTCTTCTTCTTCTTCCTGCCCTCTTCCTACCTCTCCACTCCCAACCCAGCCTTTGCCTCCACCACCTGCTCCACCTACTACCATTCCCCAATCTTCTGTTGATGCACCCATAGCTGTCAGGAAAGCTACCCGCTATTCCAAACCCCCTTCACATCTCCAAAATTACCACTACAACATGCTTATGCAGTCTTCTTCAACCAGTCATTCAACTTAGCTTCCTAATCCAGATATTATATATCCTCTCTCTGTTGTGGTCAATTATAATTCCTTATCAGATTCTCACAAGCATTTTGTCTTGAGTATTTCATCTCACAAAGAGCCAGAGTCTTACCAAGAGGCCATCCTCAGTCCTGAATGGGATGATGCCATGATCAAAGAAACCACAGCCCTTAAAAAGAATCATACATGGGACATAGTCAGACTCCCACCAAACAAGAAAGTCATTGGGAACAAATGGGTTTATAAACTCAAGTTCTTACCTGATGGAACTCTTGAGCGATGCAAGGCACGCTTGGTGGCCAAAGGATACAGCCAACAAGAGGGCATCGATTACCAAGACACCTTTGCACCAGTAATCAAAATGACCACAGTAAGATTGTTTCTCGCTATTGCTGCTGCCAAGAACTGGTTTGTCCACCAGAGATATTAACAACGCTTTCTTACATGGAGACTTAACTGAAGAAGTCTACATGAAGCTCCCACAAGGCTACAAAGCTCCTGCAAACATCCCCAATCCAGTCTGTTTACTGCGAAAGTCCTTGTATGGTTTGAAACAAGCCTCTCGCCAATGGTTTGCTAAACTGGCTAATTCTCTCTTCACTCAAGGTTACACATCAAGTAAGGGTTATCATTCTCTTTTCTTCAAAGTGACTTCCCATTCATACACTTGCATACTTGTCTACGTTGATGATCTGCTTGTTTGAGGAGATTACCTCACTGAGATCACATCAATCAAGAGTTTCCTCCATGACACATTCAGCATTAAAGACTTGGGGAATCTAAAATAATTCCTTGGCATCGAAGTAGCTAGGAACTCTGCTGGTATCCACTTATCTCAACGAAAATACACCTTAGAAAATATTGATGATGTAGATCTGCTCTCGTCTCGGCCTGTCACCACCCCCATGGATTACAAGGTTCACCTCTCCAGCACCAACAATGATCCCTTCCCTGATCGTGACCTCTATCGCAGATTGGTGGGCAAGCTTGTATACTTGACTACCACACGCGGCACGCCCTGACATTAGCTATGCTACACAACAAGTTAGTCAGTATATGTCCAGCCCCAGTGTTCTCCACTTCAAGGTCGTTGAACGGATTCTACGATACCTAAAAACAGCTCCTTCTACTGGTCTTCTTTTCTCTTCGACATCTCCACTCCATCTTCAAGGATTCAGCGATTTAGATTGGGCTTCTTGTGTCGACACTCGCCGTTTAGTGACTGGCTACTGCATCTATCTTGGGAACTCATTGATCTCCTGGAAAAGTAAGAAACAAAAGACAGTCTTGCGATCATCTTGCGAAGCTGAATACAGAGCTTTGGCTTACACATCTTGTGAAGTACAATGGCTCTTATACCTACTCCATGATTTCAGAATCTCTCATCCCCAGCCAGCATCGATCTACTGCGACAATCAATATGCTCTATATATTGCTGAAAATCGTACTTTTCACGAACGAACGAAGCACATCGAAATCAATTGCCACCTCGTTCGTGAGAAGCTTCAAGCCAACATCATCAAGCTATTGCACGTCTCCACTTCCCACCAACTAGCTGATCTGTTTACAAAACCATTACCCCCAGCTCCATTCTCTCACTTGTTGTCCAAGCTCGGTGTGCATCAACTATGCCCCCCCAGCTTGCGGGGGGGGGGGGGGGGGGGGGGGGGGGGGTATCAGACGATTTGTCAAAAAACCTTACCCCTGTTTTGCCCAGATCAGCTTCAACATCAACAGCGCAGTCGACCGTTAGTTGGAGCGACGTCGTACGAGGAAAAGGGAAGATGTCCGTTATGTGAAGCGACGTCGTTCCAGTAAAGAGGATAGCGCCAAGATCGTTAGAGCACAATAACTTTGTATTTGAAATGCTTTTCACCCCTGTCTTTACTTTCTTCTTCACCCTTCAATGTTGGACTGTAGTGATATGTAATGGCTATATAAACCAAACGATGAATGAGAAGCAGCCAAAGGGCTTTTAGGGTTTCAACCCATCTCTAGTAACAGAAGGGCATGGTAGATTGAAGGAGAGCGACATCGACGATGACGGAGGTGAGGGCCGGTGCTAGCTATATTTGGTGGCGCATTGTCGGAACAGGTTCTAGTGGTAGGGTTAAGGAGAACGATGTTGGAGCGTTGCCGAACCTGGTTAGAAGTGGTGGCGAGAAGGTCCTGCGGGAGGTAGGATTTGGGGATGTAGTCAGGGGAGCTCGCTCGCTTGCACCTCTCTGGGCTTCTCTCGATATCCCCATCGCCGATCCTCCTCACTTAGAAGAGCTCCGTCTGTGAAAATTCGGTCAGCTCCTCCTCCTCGTGATCGTCGTCATCATCATCGAATTTTTTTCGTCGCAGCCTGGACACGGGTCTCGCAGGGCTGCGAACAGAACGCCTAGATGGGTGGAGTTCTGGAGCAACAAGGCGTCGGAAGAACTCGACGTCCTCCTCCTCTTCGGATTAACGAGTACATAGGCTAATCGGGTCTATGTTGAGGGAAGGAGGATAGTTATAATTTTTTTCATTTATTTTAATTTATTGTCAAAATGATATGGAAATTGTAAAAAAATAATTTTTAAAATTTTAATTGCCACGTCATTTATTTAAAAGTCAACTCTCAGAATTGACTGTCATGTCAGATTAAGTTAACGGAGAGTGACCGAACTTGAACTGTGTAACTAATTTAAGTGACTACAGATGAAATAAGTTAATTCTAGTGGCAAACGTGAAGTTTTATAGCAATTCGAGTGACCAAACCTGCAATTTACCAGGGGAAAAATTGCTCAAAATATCAAAATGGAGAGCATCTTGTAGAGCACTAAAAAGGGTTAATTGCAAGTTTGGTCACTGGGTTGACAAAAATACGTTCATGTTTAGTCACTAGAAATATTTAATTTCATTTTTGGTCACTAAAATTAGTTTAATAGTTCATGTTTGGTCATTCTCCTACCAATTCCGTTATCTTTATCCTACGTGGCGGTCAACTTTCAGAGTTGACCGTGACGTGTCATCTAAAACATAAAAATTTAATCTGTCACATTTTCCACTTCATTATTATAATTGTTAAAAAATTAAAAATTAAAAAACTAATCTCTTACATCTCTCTCCCTCTCTTCGATTCTGACACCACCGTCGACGTCCTCTGCACAACACCGATGTGGCAGATTTTCAAGGTCAAGGAAGGATCTGTGACGTTGATGCGTCTTCTCGTGAAGTGATTGTGGATAAAAGTCATGTCAGGCCGGTTTTGGTGTGGACGTAATCCAACGCGTGGGCGAGGTCCATCCGATCCGGATTCTGGAAATCCAGGTCGAGACTGTGAAGTCGGGATTCCTCAAGCAATTGATGAGGTTTGCTCCCTTGACGAACTCATAGACTAGGTAAATGTAGTCCCATGAGATGGATACGCCAAGCAGCCTGACAACGCCGGTGTGGTTGTTGCGGCAGATGACGGACAGGAGGACAAGGTGCCTCCCGTGTAGTTGTCGTCGGAGGAGGATGCACCGATACAGGTGGTGAATGTCCATCGCTGTCGGGGAGTTTGGGACTGAGTGGCGTTGGAGGAGGAGCAAGAGCGAGTGCGGGAGGTGAGAACGGCGGCATCAATGGGTTCTGCACGGGGAATCGGTGGGAAAATGTCAGAGCGTGGTGGGAGTGGATGAAAGGAAGGTCGGAGCATTGTGGTGGGGGGTTGGGCATTAAAAAGAGTTTTTATTTGGTTTTTATTTTTTAATGATGAGATGAAATTTTTAAAATATTAAATATTATTTTTTAGTGATCAAACATGAATGTTTTTTGTAAACCCAGTGACCAAACTTGAAATTAACCCGCACAAAAAATATGATTTTACTTTGCAAACAATTTTTAAATTTGTTGTAAAACGAATGCGCTATGGTCCATTGAATTTTGGTTAGAGATTTGAAAAATGCCTTTTAAAGTTGCCTGAAAATTCACGCTCAACTAAAGAAAGAGAAGAGGGAACACAGAGAAGTCAGAACCACCCATAGATGAACAAGGCTCGCCCAATTATTTCCTTGTAAAAAATACTCTACTCTTCCAAGACCATCAGATCTGCACCCTACGAATCTCGGCTATTGGATTTGGTTTGGTATGTGATCCTTGTCCTTATTTTTATTTGGCTTGGACTATTATACAAAACCTCATTTTTTGTAGTACTACAAAATAAGATCTAATGGTTGTAATTTGGGAAGGAAAGATCTAATGATCAATATTATAAAGAGGTAGGAAGGGGGAAATGGAGGCATGCCTAGATTTGTTGCGTTGGCCGTTGCCCGAATTTGGAGTGGGTTGATGTGGAATTCTAGACACTTTTCATATTTCCTACGAAATTGAACGAAACATAGCGCATTCATTTTACGTCCAATTTAAAAAAAATGTATATTTTTTGTGCTCTACAAGATATTATCTAGATATATTTTGGGCAAAAATTTTCAGGCTTATCATATCAGTTTATATCAAGTTCATGTCATTCATATCAAGATCGTATCAGTTCCATATCATTAATATCATGATCATATCAGTTCATATCAATATCATATTACTTCATATCAAGTTCATGTCATTCATATCAAGACCATATCAATTCTATATCATTCATATCAGTTTATATGAGTGGTATGACAATGATATGATATTCGTATGAGGTCTTATGCTTGATAAAAACATAACAAAATTGATATCATTGTGTAGATCTTAATGAATGCGTTCTTTCTATACAATATTTTTTCAATTTTTGAGTTTAAATGAAGAAGATAAGTTATCATATCACTGTCATATCATTCATAATTTAATTCTATGCAAATATTTTTTAATTAATTCGGAGTTAAAACAAATTTTGTAAGATCTAATTAAGAAAAATAGGAGATTAGACAAAAATACATTCTCTCTCCTCTTAATTCATGTCAGGGCTGTCAGGAAAAAAGATTCAGGGGTGACAGAATTACCCGTCCGCCCCTTCTCTTTTTTTGTTGAGAATTATTCTAAGCCATTAGATGGGAGAAGTGATGAGAAATGAATGATGGGTTTTGAAGTGATTTTGTAGATATGAGTTTTGTGCCCTATTACTTTCCTTTTTATTTTCGTAAGCGCAGGAATAGTCTACAGTATCATTTATAGTGGAAACGTAAAACTGCACCCTCCATTCAAAAATCCATGCTCCTAGAGTGATTTGCGGGACTGGGCATTCACGCGGCTTTTTTCTCACCCTTTATGTAACTATAATGGTGAGACGAGGGAAAACAAGATTTTTCTAAGAAGCAATGGCGGTTTTAGCTCATTTTCAGAACCTCCACTTCTCCCCCGTCTCTTTCCTGCCATTTCAACTTTACCTTCTGCTCCAAGCTCTACCCACTCCCAACCCTAAGCAAGCCCTAATCCGCCCTATCCGCCCCCGAGCCCATCCAGGTGAATCAGCTTCTCGAACCGCCGCCACCAGCGGAAACCCAGTTATTGATTCCACTCGAGAAGCTGTTCATCCCGCCATAGACACAAGTCCCGCTTGACGACCCCCCACAAGGGTTCTCAAGGGCTCAAACATAGTGCTGAGCAAGTACGCTCAGGTGTGCATGCTAAGTTTGTGAAGAGCAGCGTGAGGACCCAGGATTGCCTCTCCGATGGGTCCCCGGAGTTCGCCCTCGTCGGGAAATCTTTTTCCCCCCAATGAATATCGGGAAATCTTCTCTTCTCAATTCGCTGGTCAGAAGGAAGAAGCGATAAGCTCGCCCTCACTTCTAAGAAACCTGGTACATAATGGTTTTCTACATTATGTGGCTTTGAATTGGGAATTTGTAGTGGAAATTTGCATTCATTGGTATTGAAATTGTTCAAATTTTGAAGGGAAGATGCAATGCATAAACCATTTCAGGATCAATGAGAGCTGGTTCTTTGAGTATTTGTCTGGATATGGGTAATTGTTCCACCATTGATCAATTTTTATTTAGGAGATTTGGAATTGGTACTTATTTGAGTTACAATAGTGTCGCGATTCAACCTGATGTCTTTTTCAAGCCGTTATGATCTTCTATGCAGGTATGTTTCTACACCACATGAATGCAGGAAAGATTGGGCCAAATTTACCAAGGATTACTTCCTCAACCGTTCAATGTTGGTCTCTGTGTTCCTTCTCATAGATGCAAGTATCCCAGCGAAGAAGATCGATCTGGAATATGCAAGCTGGCTTGGTCAGTACCAGGTAAAAGGAGAGGACTTTTTGTTTGATTTTGAAGTTGCACATAATGGTGCATATGGTCAATGTTTGCTTTGAGCGTCATCTAAAAGAAAAAATTGCCATTTTGGTTGGATAGAAATTTGTATACATTATTTGGTAAATCACTTTGGTTTGCGATTTTGTTGGGTTCTTCTTTGTATTTTCACTATGCATGATTCAGACTGACGATTAATGCTCCAGAATGTTCCTCCTAAACTTGAGAGTATTAGAGAATGAGCGTTATCTACGGTGTGTTTGTTTACTGAAATGAAACTAATAGTTCTAGATGGGTTTACCGTTCATTTGAACAGGTCTTAGGATGACGCTTACTAATTTCTACCAAAACCATTCTCAACTCTTCATTTGTGTGTGATTTGTACAACAACCATTATCAACTCTTGATTTGCTCTCTATTTGGTTTGAGCCTTTCTCTTATACTTACCTTCCCTCTCTCTGTGGGTTTTCTAAGCTTTATACCTGCAAATTTGGCATCTTTCTATTTCTTGCTCATTGGTACCAGCTCTCTCACCATAACGCAAGGGAAATGGTAGAAACACATTGCCCTCTTGTGTTGCACATGGATTCTTCTTTGGCAAGGATGATATGAAGCACTAAAACCCTTTTTTGGGGAAAGAAGAGAGTACGCCCCAACCCTCAATACAATCGCTGCTTACAGCTTCCACTTCCTTACTCTTTGGTACCACCCCTCCCTTCCTCAATTTGGTTTCTTCTACTGGTCACCTGCTCTTTTAATTGCATTTATAGTGGCTATTGCCCATTTGTTCTCGGTTTTCCTTACCAAATATAGTGATTTTCCAGAAAATTTGTTTCTGCATGTTTCGGCAATTGTTTACATTCAATCCACTATATTCATAGGGAGATGAAAATCCACAAACTATGAAGTCATTGACCATGGTAGGGGTTTCTTGGAAGAAGAAACTTTGGAACCTACTAGATGAAATTCTGATGATGAACGTACACACTAGGGCTGCAGGGGAGAATGGAATATCAAATTAAAGCCATTGATAGGTACCTGCTTTTGTTGATAAGCTAGAGAATGTTTTTTGTCTTTTATACGAGGAAAAATCAGTCTTATGACAACAAACCCCCATAGATACCCGGCAAACCCTGTGAGCATTTAATACGAGCTTACAGCCCTGTCGGTGGTCACCAAGGGGGTAACACAGAAGTGGCAGCTACCAAGGATCGAACCTAGAAAATTCTTGGACACAATCTTACGCTTTTACCACCTCTACCACCCCTTGGTGGTTGCTAGAGAATGTTTTCGTCCAAAACACTTGGCAATTAGAAGTTTGTTTCTTTTGAATTGGTGCTTAGTTAATAGTCAATATGTCAGCTAACCTTTATACTTGTGGCTTTACTGTTACTAGTTTTTTGGCCCGCGCTTCGCGGCGGTAAAATCTACGTAAAATACTTGTTTTATTGATACATAAGAGATGATTGTTCCTTCAAATTATGTATTGTATTTAAGAAAATTTAAGTTATAGAATGGTGTTAGGTAAATTTTATTTAATGTATATTCTAATAATAACACCATGTTAAGAAAAAGTAACACTGATTAATTATTATGTAAAAGTTAATTACCTTATGATACATTTGTGTAATGCAAATTGATGGATGGTGGATATTGTAGTTAATAATTAAAAAATTTTAATTACTAATAAAATAATTTAACTATGAAAAATATTACATTTGATCAAATTGCTATGTGAATCTTATAAAATCGTTGTGTAAAGGAGTTTGATGAGATGGTCAATCATTTTTTTAATAATATACAAATTTTAATTAGAAATAATCCTTATAGAATCTTTTTTTAATGTAAATTAATGAGATGGTAAATCATTTAGTTAATAAAAAGAAATTTTCAATCAAACTCTTTTTTTTTGGGTCAAAAGATAACATATATAGATCCAATCAAAAAGATAATTACATCCTGGAGAGCAGCCAGGCCCTGAAATCAATCAAACTCATATTACGGAAGACTATGTAATATATTGTTTTATTTGATACATAATAAATAATTATCCTTTCATAAAATTTACAAAATTTCTTAATCATTACTACAGACTTAAACATATCACGTTATATTTAATTGATACATAAGAAATAACTATCCTTTCATAAGTTTGACGTACTATTTTTAATTTATATAACTTTTATGGAACCGTGTTACGTTTTATATCTTTGGACTAATAATAAACCAAAGTTTCAAAAAGTATCATATTTGATTAAACTATTATGTAAAAGTTAATTTACCTTACGAAACCTTTGCGTAACACAAATTGTTTATGTGGTAAATATTGTAGTTAATGCAATAAAAGTTTGTTTAATTGTTACATAATAAACAACTATCATTTTATAAGTTTGATGTCTTATATTTTTAATTCACCTAAATTTTATAAATTGGTGCCACATAAGTTATCTGTAATGTTGGGTCTAAAAATAAAATCAAGTTACATAAAGTATTACATCTGATTAAACTATTATATAGAATTTAACTTACCTACTGTATGGTTGTTAACCCGTGGGTCGAACCCCAGTTTAACTCAGATTGATCCCGACCATTGAGTAAAACGGGTCATACACCTACTGGTCGACCAACATCAAGGTTCTAGGGTTGGAGGTCACACAATGTCGCTTTTTCTTTTGATTTGCGAATTGCACCTCTTTTCCCCTTCACCTAACGTATCTTTATTTGAAATTCTAAGTTGAATATTCGAGTGTGTTTGAATTTTCATTATATGTTGGATCCAAGTTAATGTTATATGTTATTACACATATGTTATATGAGATTGATATAATTTATAAATGTCTTAATAATATAATATATTCTTTTATATATTCGAGTCAAATTGAGTCAAAGCAATCAAACCATTAACCCTCAATCTACTTACTCGACTGGGCCAACATGCTAAATTGGGTTGGACAACCTTGCCTTACGGAACCTTTGTGTAATGCAAATTGATGGTATAGTTAATAATGCAAATAAGTTATGAACTTGCTTTACGAATTATTAAGTTAATAATAAGTGTATTCATGAAATTCGTGATGCAAAAATTCAATATATATTAGTTATAGAATATATTATATGAGATTTGATATAATGATTTTTTTCATATAGGTCAAACCGAGTCAAAATAATCAGACCATTAACCCCCACTTACTCGATTGGGCCAACAGTCTAAATCGCTTGGCAACCTTGTCTTACGGAACCTTTGCTTAATGCAAATTGATGGTACAGTTAATAATGCAATTAAGTTATGAACTTTACTAATTATTAAGTTAACAATAAAGATATTCATGAAATTGATGATGCAAAAATTCAATATATGGTAGTTAACGTCATGGGATGTATGGTAGTTATAACTCAAATTAATAAATTATAATGAACAGTGTTTTCCAAAGGGTTTGGGATTAGCGGATTTTTCGTATGGAACAGTAAAATTAATGAAAGATTACTTGCGCTATTATAATATAATTATGATCACCTAGATTCCTTGACTCTCCTCAAGCCAATCTCTAACATAAGGTCTCTTAGTGTAATGGCAAAAGCTCCTGCCTATATAATCACCATTATACTGCTTTAGATCCTTGGTTGTTGTGAGCATCCAGTTATTTCATAAATTAATTGGTCTCTTTCACGCAAGGAAACCAACGAACACCAGATCTGTTGTAGCGGGCACAAATTCAGCTTAGAAAGCATGTAAACAATGTTAGTTTAGAAACCACTCACCATAACACAAAAGTAAAAGCACAAGTCTCAATTCCCAAATCAAATCTTCCAAGTTACAACTTACAGTGTATAGACCGACAATAAACATTTTGCGAAAGCGCAACATCAACACAAAAAGCAGATCGCAGGACCATTGTGTATTGATTTGGTTACAATTTCGCTTTATGAAATTCAGTTTGTGGTTGGACCTGAATTTGTGTTTTGGTCTATAGCTTCATAGTATTTCTTTATGGTTTCCATCTGTTGTAGCCAGCATGTTTGCTTTTAACATGAGGTCTCTTGGTGTAATGGCAAAGCTCTGGTCTTCATCATCATCGTTAAACTAATTTTGTTACTTGGTTGTTGTGGGACCCATATATTGGAGCTTCAAGCAACCTTACGTGAAAGCCCTAGGCATTGTGGAATGGGATAACTATAGAATAGAGTTTTGGCATAACAACTTAATGATCATAACTCTCTTCATCGACAACAAGTAGTGAAAAGACTGGAGCATTTGGCTGCATCAGCTTCCCAAGGGGAACTGTCTCAGTTTCTTCACCATACACTCTTTCATTTGTTGGTCACTTTACTAATAACCTATAACAATGTTTATCATACCTATTTTCTTGAAATTTCCCTGCCATAATAATAATGTCGATGGGTTTGTGGTTGACTTTTCTTTTCATATAATTAGGACACTTCACGATATGCTTCTTCCTCTGACCATCGACATGTCAACCGAGTACGAATAGTGGGAACTAGATAATCGCCATTTGTTTTATCAATAATTTGGTTCTCCTTCGCTGTGACAAATGGTGACTTTCTTGCAAACCTCCTGAAATGTAAACAATTTTCCATAAATTAATTCCGCTCTACTCATTCGTCGCTTGGATTTGTTAGTTACGCTTCAAAATTGATAATTTCTAGATTTGTATGCTTTTACCAAGTTCAGAGGAGTTTCCTGGAAATAACCCAACCGTGAGAATTCTTGATTGGTTTGGCTGATCCAAATTTGAATATTCTAGCTTGGTTTGCCAAAGAGAATGCTACAAGTGGTTCCAAGTAAACCTTCCGATGACCCAGAGTTCCAAACAAGGTTTTCGTTGTAGTATTTTATTCGAATTTCCTTATTTGTCATTAAGGTTAGATTTCCTCCCCTATAATTCAAGGATAGGGAGTGGATGAAATAGACTTCTCCAAGCAACCAAACGAAATCAGTCCTGCTACCTTTACCTTGAATAATTGTTTCTCTTAGAGATTGAGGCGGTTAGGAAATTAATAATCAATTCATATCTTAAGTTCAAACGTTATTTGGTCGGCTCAGCCTTACCCTCCCATCCACATGCAATGTTGATACTAGAAGTGAAAAGTTTGTTGCAATGAGGTTGGAATGTTCGGATAGAGCATTATACTGGAAAAGAAACATGGTGACAGATTAAATTGCATCGACTGATCATTTTTTACCCGTCGGAATTTGCCTTACTTATGCTCCGAATACCCCTCTTTGTTACTATTTGATGTATGATCTAATCGGGAGTCAAACTCCCAAACTGGTTCCGAACTAAGGATTGGGAACCCCTAACATCCTTTGATTAGAAGAAAAAAAAGTTCAAACGTTATTTAATTTTGGAAGTGAAATGTCCATTTTTCATTCAAAGTTTGAGCAAATAAAGCAACATGTTCTTGAAGCTTGACATTCTAAATTAAAAATTAACAAGTAATATTCTGAAGGTAGTTATGCTTGGATTTTCTTCCACAATTTACCCACTACTTGATGCTCTTCTAACTCATTATGCACAATTTTCCTTTCCTTTCCTTTCCTTTCCTTTCCTATTCTATTCTATATGTGGGTGTTGCTTCACAAGTCTCTCACCTTCCTTCCCAACATTCACATCCAACAAATTAAATATGATCTCTACAAGAGGCGTAATATCATTCCTAGATTCACTATTTCCATGGTCTGGCCATATTGGCAAACTCATTGGGAGAAACAAAGAAGGTTCCATTTCAGCCAGAAGAGACATGATTGTGACCACACTAACACAAGAATATAGAAATAGAAGCTCACAAGTCATAAATATCGACAAAATTCAATGCTTATAGTTTAAAAAAATACACACAATCTTCTTTCGGCCAACGGGCCGGTTATAAGCTAGTTTAAACAAAAATCAGAATTGAAATCTACATGCATAAGAAAAAGCATCCAATTAGTGAAATAATTTTGAATATATTTGAAATAAATACTTTTGAATATTTTTTTTACTGGAATTTTGAATATTTCAATGGTCTGAAATCAAAATTTAAGGGCAAAAAATTGTGGAAGATTGTTTTAAAATGAAAATTATAAAAAATAAAGAATTTCTTTTTGTTGTTTTTATGGGGTCCCTATCAAAAATATTTATGGGGAGGAATTCGTTATTGCCTCTCTCTTGCCCTAAAAAATCGCAAAACTATCTCCCTCGTTCGATTATCGATCCCTCCCAAGCTCACCCAACTCTGAGCCAGAAGCCAGCCATTCGGCCTGCCTTTTCCTCGCTGTGCAGCTCGATTCCCGTAGAAACCACTGAGCTGCTTCTCATGTCGCAGAGATTTGCGCCGATGGGTCTGCTCGAGAATGCTGGCAACTGAGTCGCAATCGAAAAGAATGGTGGGTTTCCTTCGTCCAAAACAGTGTGTTTTCCGATCGCGACTGTTGATGTTCCTTTGCGGCAGGTTTCTGTAAATAATCACCTTGATAATTTGTGTGCTCGTCAACAACGTATGAGCTCAGGGGTAAATTTTTTACGAAGTTTTGATTTTGAATTTGGGGATGAAACTCATTAGGGTTCCTGTTACTCGCTGTCTATTGATGAGAATTTCATTTGTTTAGTATGGGTTTTTTATTTTTTTTTATATTGAGGAGAAAAGTAGTGAACTTGGTTTCCCTTTTGTTTGTTTGTTCCTGATTTTTCAGAGGCATAGAGAACCACCAAAGTTTCCTTGTGAAACTGAGGTAGAGCTAGACAGAATAAGCGGCTTGCCTGAGCATGTTCTGCACCAAATTCTGTCACATCTCTCCATTAGAGATGCTGTGAGAACGAGTATCTTGTCTTCGAAATGGAGGTACAAGTGGACAACTCCCAGTCTTGTGTTTGACAGCAACTGCATTTCATCTCCTTCTCAAGACCAGGCTCTTATTAAGAACAAACTAGTTAGCGTTGTTGACCACGTCCTGCTGCTCCATCGTGAACCCATTCACAAGTTCAAACTCTCCCACCGTGAATTGGTAGGTGTTACCGACATCGACCGATGGATTCTCCATCTGTCGTGGCGCTCGGTCAAGGAGTTCATCCTCGAGATATGGAAAGGGACTCGGTACAAGATCCCAAGTTGTCTGTTCTCTTATCAGAATTTGATCCACTTGGAGCTTTTCAATTGCTTGCTGAGACCGCCTTCTAGCTTCAAGGGGTTTCGGAATCTCAAGAGTCTTGATTTACAACATGTTACTCTTGCCCAGGATGCGTTTGAGAATCTAATTACTAATTGCCCTTTGCTCGAGAGGCTAACTCTCATGAATTTTGATGGTTTCAGTCATCTCAAGATCAGTGCCCCAAACCTGCAGTTCTTTGATATTGGTGGTGCCTTTGATGATGTGAGTTTTGAGCATACTTTTCAGTTGACTCTTGTTTCCATTGGGTTGTATGACCGGAATGTGGCATTGAGTGGAAGCTCGAGCAAACTGCTCAGTTTCTTTGCTAATCTTCCTCATATTCGAAGGCTGGAGGTTCAGAGTTACTTTCTCAAGGTAATCATTACTCCTTCCTACTACTTGGTACGGCCTTAGAATGTTCTGCTTATAGATTGTCAACTCACATTCACTTAGGGCTTTTTGGATTGTACATTTGGGAGGGTGGATTGTGCACACAATCCACAGTTAGGCTATAAACTATTCGGGTTTGTTGCAACAATGTATTTGACAATATATCTACTTGTTAAAGTCACTTACCCGAGCAAATAGATTTTGACAGCCTATCTATTCCGAAAGCTATGTATTCTTCACCATCTATCCATTTCGACATATCACCATTCATACGAGACCCCTCAATTTCTGCAGAGTGATTTTCTTATGGGTCCTTCTGTCAAGTGCTTTTGGTTTCTACTACACAAATATAGAATTATTTAGGTGCACGTTCATTTCATATGCAACCGTTTTGCCTCATCTTTTCTCTTTTCCCCAGTACTTGGCCATGGGAAATGTGCCAACCAGGTTGCCAAAACCATGTATCGATCTGAATTACCTTTCGATACGCGTAAACTTCAACGATATGGATGAGAGTGCTGCTGCTCTGTGCCTCCTGAAAAGTTCACCTAATCTGCAAGAAGTAGAGATGCTGGTAAGCTGTTGGCTCTTCGTGCTACTACTTAATCCAAACTTTCCTGTTTTCAATCATGTGCTACTTTTTCCTGATATCCCACAACTTGACTTTTAAGGCTCGCCCGGAAGAACAGTCGGGTGGAAGAACAATAAACATTTCCTGGGAAGATGAACATTGGACTAATCTGTTGCTCCAATTGCGATCAGTGAAGATAGTTGGCATCTCTGGAGTTCAAGCTGAACTCGACTGCATAAAGTTTCTGCTCTCGAACTCGCCTGCCCTGGAGAGAATGACCATCAAGCCGATATCGGTCGATGGAGGATGGGACTTGCTCAAGGAGTTGCTTCGTTTCAGGCGGGCGTCTGTTCTAGCAGAGATTATTTATCTAGACCCATAAACTGCTGCTGCTAAAACGTATCGCTGTTCTTCTGGAACAGGGTATAAAATTTGGAAATGTGTGAATAAGACTCTGTTAAGCTCGAGAGAAGAGTGTGCGGTTTATGGGCCATGAGTTCTTGTCAAAGAATATGTCCTTTCACGGTGGTCAGGGACTAGTTTCAGCTACCAGTTAAATAAAAAGTTTTTTTTTTTCTTTTCCAACTTAAGCTTATAACTTATTGTTTATGAATTACCGACCTGTTTCAGCTACAAGTTAAATTAAAATGTTCTGTTCAACTTTAAAGCTTATATCACATTGTTTATTGATTACATGTTCCGTTGGTTTTGGTCATCGGCCATCGAATTCCTCTATGAAATGTCTTTTGTAGAATCATATAAAAAACCAAAACAATAAAACTAATTCTCGGAAGGTTAAATAAAAAATTCTCATTGAGCATTGGCAATTTTAAAACGCCCAATAGCTCTCCCAAATGTGGGTTAATGACAAAAATATTGTTTTTTTTTTAATTTACCACTAATATGGCCAATTAAAAAGTATTGACACAGATATTGTATTTTAGAGATAAGAATCGGCGAGGCCATCTGAGACTCAGGCGCTGTCACTTTAGCTTGGTTTTTGGACCGTTTTATTTAGTTGGCAGCGGCGGCGCTCAAGACTCAGGCGGCACCGCCTGAGACCTAGGCGAGTAGGTGGGAAATCATCCCAGGCGGTGGCGCCCGAGACTGAGGTGGCACCGCTGGCTTATTGCTGGCCACCCACCTTATAAAACCCAGACAATTTCGTTTCAGATTCACACCACAAAAAAAATCGTCCAAAATAGAGGAGAGAGCTCTGGTTGCTGCTGCAATAATGGCTAATAGGTAAGAGACACATTTATTTTTGTAATTATATTATTCAAATGCTATTATGATTGTGTTTAGTTTTAATTAGTGAGTTTGTTTTTTTGTAATGATTTTAGAAGATTTGAACTAGTTGTTCGGTGGAAATCGGAGAAAGTAGAGGATAATTTGGGCGTCAAATTCGTTGGTGGTAGTAGTTTTCAGTTGACGGTTCCATCCAGAGTCACATATCACAAACTTTGTGAGAATCTAATTCCGAGAATACGGCGCTAGACGAAGCAGTAAAAGATAGTGATGTGATCACAGGTTTCACTTACCGTCTTCCAGAATGGCAGAATGATGTTTTATTTCATTATGCGATACCTATTGTGGATGATGATAGCTTGAATGTGCTTTGGAATTTTATGGCACAAAATCCTTATTGTTTGGGTGCTGAGATACATGTTGAGCTCAGTGAGGATCAGGGTGGAGAGGAAGAAGATGATACATGGAGCGTGCCATCCGATCATGACTATGATGACGGTGATGACGGAGAGGAGGAAGATGAGGAGGAGGAGGAGGAGGAAGGAGGAAGGAGAGCAGCTTAATTATCCTCCATATTTTTACTTGCAGGGTAATGAAGAGGACGAAGAATTATCACTTGCTGATTCATATGGCGTAATTCCAATGCCTATTGTTGATAGTTTTGAAGGAGAATTCTACAAGGGGCAGATATTTCACTCGAAACAAGCTGCACAGATGGCGATTAAACACCACGCACTACAACGCAAGTTTCAATATGGCGTGGTGGAGTCGTCACCTTCAATATGGAAGGTCAGATGCTTGAGGCACAAGGATGACAATTGTCCTTGGATGGTGCGGTTTGGATGTCGAGATGTTGGGGGCGAATGGACTGTGAGAAAGGCTGAGTTGGTGCATTCTTGTAGCAGTACGACTCAACCGACGGATCATCGCCATCTTGATGTCGACATGATATCTAAGGCCATCAAACATTTGGTACGTGCCCAACCAAATCTGAGTGTTCTAACTGTTCAAGCCGAGTTGAAAGATAAGTTTAATATGCAAGTTACTTACAAGAAGGCTTGGTATGGGAAACAAAGAGCATTGGAGAAGTTGCATGGAAATTGGGAAGAATCCTACGATTTTTTGCAAACATTCTTGCGGGTGGTCAAGAGAAAAATGCCAACATCGGTGATTGATTGGGTAAGAGTTCCTTCGACTCAACCAGGTCATTCAATATTTCAGCGAGTATTCTGGGCTTATGGACCTTGTATAGATGGATTTAAGAATTGTCCAGGAGTCATGGTTGTGGATGGAACATTTCTTACTGGGAAGTATAAAGGAGTGCTACTCATGGCGAGCTCATTTGATGGCCGGAAGAAGATTTTTCCAATTGCATTTGCCATAGTGGAGAGTGAGAATACTGAGAGTTGGCCATGGTTCATGAGGAAGGTTCAGGGTTTGACTGATCGAAATGATGTATGCATCATCTCAGATAGACATGCAGGACTCTATGAAGCCATGAATAACATCGGAAGAGGTTGGGAGTGGAGGTGGTGCATGCGACACTATGCAAGCAATTTGCAAAGGACGACTAAAAGCAAAATTATGTATAATCAACTATTTCGAGTCGGTAAGCTTTCTTCATTTAATTTTGTTATTTGTTTTCATGTAATTTTGTCATGAATTTATCTAACCCGTGTTGTGGTTTATTTTGTTAGCCGGAGAAAAACGGTTGGAGAAGTTTGATCGTCAAGTTGAGCAATTTAAGAAGGTGGCCGCTGATAGAAATATTTCATGTGATAACTGGGTGGATCAACATCAGATTCGTTGGAGTTTAGCACATGATAACTACAATGGTGGGGGTCGTTGGTCTATCCTGACATCCAACATGGCAGAAAGCGTCAATGGTATTTTCAAAGGTATTCGTGCACTTCCTATAGCTTCTCTTGTGCAGCATACCTATTGGCGATTGGTGGAGAAATTCGATAAGTATAGGTTGGAGACAGGAGCAGAAATTAGAAGTGGCGGTTCACAGTACTCCACCAAGTGCGAAGAGCTGATGAAGTACAGGTCACAAAAGGCAATTGGACATTCTGTGACAGCTCTTGATCGAAGTCAAGGCATCTATGTAGTTCAGACTCCTCCCTTACAATTTCAACATGACGGGGTCAAACACACTCACAGTTTACTTTGACGATCAAAACCGGGCAAGATTTTGCACTTGTGGTAAATTTCAAGGAAATAAAATTCCTTGCTCTCATGCCATTGCAGCTTGCAACCGAATGGGGGCTAATGCGTATAGGTTTGTCAACGATGTCTACAAGCTGGAAACAGTGATGGCTTGTTATGGGACAAGTTTCGCACCTCTTGGTGAACCTAAGGGCTGGAAGAAGCATAATGGTCCTATTCTCCATCCTAATGTGCACATGATTAGGAAGCCGGGGAGGCCACGAGTTACAAGGATTCACAACGAGATGGACTGGTGATATTCGGCTTTAATATATCGGATTCTTGGACTTTATGTGATTATCCGTGATATGTTTTAGCCAAATGGTGCTATTTTAAGGCTCGCTAACCCGAGAATGGTTGAAAAACCATTACTGCCTAGTGCCATGAGTTTGATGTATTACAGGTGAAGAAAACACGAAAAAGGAGTTGCACCGGCAAACAATGCTCGAATGCTGGGCTTAAAGCCCAGCTGGATGGCAATTAATTGATAATTGGCCCAAGGGAATTTTGGGGCCGGACACAATTTCTGGTGGGAGCAAAGGATTGGACACAGGGAATTCTTGGAAGAGTGGTTTATTAATTGTGGGCAGCGGAAATCTCTTGGGAGGGAATTAGTTGGCGGGAGGAATTCTCTGGGAGGAAAAACTTTATTCTTTGAGGAGAATTAAGCGGAAGCGGAATTAATAGAGGCGGAGCGAATTCTTTGGGCGATTATTATTGCGAGGGCGGACTTTTGTTTTTCTTGGCGAGAAACGCTTTGGAGAAAGAAAGAAAAGGCAGCAGCTTGTTAGAGGGAAGGGCGGAATTCTCTTTTGGCGGAGAGAGCAGCGAGCGGCGATTGGAATTTGGCGATCGATCTCTTTTCAAGGTTTGAGCTGAATTCAACGAGAACGATTATTTGGTTGGATTTTCTAAACTGAATTAGTTGTTTCTTGTTGATTTAGAACATGATGAACAAAACCCTATCGATTTATCTTAATTTCGTCATGAACTAAACCCCAATTTCTGTGGGAAACACCATAGGATGTAGCTAATTCTTGATTTGATGGATTGATTCATGATTCTTTTCTTCCAATCTCTATTGCATGAAATTTCTTAATGCTTTGTGTTGACTGGCCACCAATACAACGATTTGTAGTTAATTAGGTTATTAGCGACAGTGAAACCCTATTAACTGAACATATTTCATGTGACATAGTAACTTATCGAAGCGACAGTGGATTAAATAAGGTACTATGCGGTCTTAATTGGGATATCGGTCTTCAGGCTAAATAATTAAGTCATTGAGCTACGACAGTAGGATTTGAATTGATTATTTAGTACGTAGTAATTCCCGACATGGATAGCTAGCACATTCGTGATATCCTGGCTGTAGAGGTATGGATTAAATTGATTGGAATAGGTGAATTAATCCGGATAGGATAGGTAGTGAATCCCGGTGTTTCTCCCAGAGCTTTCTCCCATTGATTTTCTCCCGACAATTTTCATTTAGTTAATTTGTTTATTTTATTTTGCTTTTAGAAATTAGTCTCATTAAACTATTTTCACTTATAGTTTGCTCATAAATTTGATAGAATATAAGGTTGTACCAGTCCCTGAGAGACGATACCCGGACTTTCCGATTTTACTACAAGATAGGAATTGAAGCTATACGCTTTTGACCTATCAACTGGCCAAGGGAGGGTGCATCACACCAAGTGTGTAGCAACTGTAACCAAGCGGGACATAATGCATCAACCTGCGGTGGCCAAGCTAGTGGGAGTGGGAGCAACCGAGGAGGGAGTGGTGGCCAACGAAGTGCGAGAGGTGGTAGAAGAGGAAGTAGAGGTAATAGACGTGGCTGAGAGGTGGTAGAAGTTGTTGTATTTCTTTTGATTTACCATGTAATAGTTGTTGTTTGTTTGAGATGTTGTTGTTTGGTATGTTGTTGTTATCTTTTTTATCGTTAATAATAATAATAATCCAAAAAGAATAGTCTAAATGAAGTACATAATAATAACAATCCAAAAATAATAATCTAAAGGAAGTACATAAATAATAACAATCCAAAAATAATAGTCTAAAGGAAGTACATAAATAATAACAATCCAAAAATAATAGTCTAAAAGAAGTACATAATAATAACAATCCAAAAATAAGGAAGTACATAATAATAATAGTCTCACTGACGATCACCACGACGACCACCATGCTCTACCGCTAGAT